ATGAAGAGAGCTGAGAAAAATCCATTTCCCTCACCCGTTTTGTTTTGTGTCTGTTTTGGGGCCACACTCGGCAATGCACGGGGGCTAACTCCTGGTTCAGCACTCAGGAATTACTCCTGGCAGAGCTTGGGAAACCATATAGAATGCTGAGGATTGAGCCTGGTTGGCCACAAGCAAGGCAAACGCCCTACCCACAGAACTATCTCTCTAGACCCTATCTATTTTCCTTCCTTTTAAGCAGCCTATTTTTCTGGGGGCGCAGTGGAGGGCATACCCGGCTATCCTCAGGATTTAACTACTGGTTCTGCACTTAGGGATCACTCCGGGTACCGCTCAGGGGCCATATGTGATGCGGGTGATCAAGCCCAGGTCGGCCTGTGCAAGGCAAGCAAGCGCCTTACGTTGCTGTACTATTTCTCCTGCGCCTACAGCAGCCTGTTGAACAGAGGGAGATGAGACAGGTCCTCTCCGCAGGCCAAGGGAGATGAGACGGGTCCTCTGCAGCCTAATCCTGTCCAGACGGAGATGCTCCAAAAGATCTTGAGACGATTGATTTGCGGAAGGCAGAGGAGGCGGCCTCTAGAGACACTGCTTCTCTCTCTCTCTCTCTCTCTCTCTCTCTCTCTCTCTCTCTCTCTCTCTCTCTCTTAGCAAAAGGACGAGGAGACCCAGAAAGATACGGGAGTCGAGTCGGAGAAAAAGGGGGCGGGGATGTATAGGGTTCCACGCACAGCCCTGTACAAGTTAACGGAGCAGCTCGCCCGGGGCCAGAGCCCGAAGCTGAGGGGCGGGGCCATGGTCACCAGACCCCGCCCCACCCCGCAGACGCCCCGCCCCTGGACAAAGGCCCCCGCCCCACCCCGCCGACGCCACGCCCCCGATCGCAGGCCCCGCCCCGGCGGCCCCGCCCCCGCCCCGGGACCCGGCCGGGCTGCGCTCACTCCCCAGCCGGGGCCCCGGGAGCCTCCAGGTGGTGAGGCTCCCGCCCACCCTGAGCTGCGGCCTCCGCATGGAGGGACCCCTCACGCCGCCGCCGCCGGGGTCGGGGCGGTTTCCGCCACCACCACCGCAGGGAGGCGGAGCCGCCGCGGTTCCCGAGCCCGGAGCCCGGCAACACCCGGGACACGAGACGGCGGCGCAGCGGTACAGCGCCCGCCTGCTGCAGGCCGGCTACGAGCCCGAGAGGTGACGCCCAGCTCCGGGACATGGGCGCGCGGGGCGACCCCGGGGTGGGCGCGGCGGCGGAGCTGGGGAGGGGACGCGCGGGTCGGGGAGGGGGGGGGGCGTGGGTTGGGCGACGCGGGCACGGCCGGACAGAGTCCACCACGTTGGCTTCTGACGCGTTCAGCCTCTAACTTCCCGAGTGTGGGTTCAGACGCCACGCAGCTGGTGTTGGTTAGGGGCGTGCAGGTGGACGGTTGCGGTGTTAACCGTGCATCAGGCCTCCGGTGCTCCCCCACCCGACGACGGCACTGCTCCCAGTGGTTCCAACTCCCCTGGCGCAAACTATGCTTGTGAAGGCCCCCGGTCCAGCGCTGCATGCGCCTCCTCGGCAATTTCTCCCTAGAACTACCTTCAGCCTTAGCGGCAGGTGTCCAGAGGGAGCCCCTGGTCAGAGAAGGGTGCAGATACCCCTCTGCATCCACGCTATTCACTGGCAGTCTGATGAGTGGTCAGTGAGACCCCCCTCCCCCCCACACACATACACACACTACACACACCCTTCCTTGGGCTTTCTCCTAAGATCCAGTACCTCCTCCTGCCCGGACCCTACTGGAGTCCAGGAAGGGTCACTGGAGGAAAAGTCTGGCCGTGGAGCTGGGTCCCAGCGGGCGCTGACTGAATGAATAGGGGGCACTGGCTAATCTCTGGACTGTATCTATGCTAGAAATACACTGCTACTTTCTTTCTGGTCCAGAGGATTTGGACTCCTGTCGCTGCCCCATCTGTTGGTGCTCTGCAGCTTGGGGAGGTGACCCGGGTGCTCGTTGAGGGGAGAGGTGCTGGCGAACTAGCCCCACGGCTGCTGTGTGTGGGGCGGGTGGCTTATGTAAGAACTATTAAGGGCTTAAGGGGCAGCCTGGTGAAGCCTGGCCACTCCTCCCCACCCAAGCTGCTTCTCTAGAACGGACACGGGTTAGGCTATTTCTACACTGACCCCTCCCCTCCTAGAACCCAGCTTATGGACGCTGAGGGCAATGGGCAGACGGGAGCGGGCTCGGGAGGTGAGCGAGCGGCTGATGGGGACGATGGTGTTTTGGGTAGAGCAGGTGTCTACACCCCACTGCATACAGGAGCACCCCTTTCTCCAGACTGCCCTTCTGCAGGGAGGTGCTGTCCCCACCCCCACCCCCAGCTCTCAAGAGCCTGCATAAAACCTGAGGCCTGACAGGTGGTGTAAGGGGAGTCACTGCACTCCTGGGCTGGAGTGGAGGTGTGGAGAGGAGTACAAGGATGGGCTTCCCTGGAGAAGCCCAGGATTTGAGGTCAAGTTCTCTGACTTGAACTTGAGCAAGCCACGCCCCCTGTCCCTTGCCTCCCTTCAAACGCCTTTTGAAGTCTGGTCCCTTCAGACAGGCCTAGAGCGGTTAGAGACCAGCGCTCTGCCTGGCTGGGTGCCCACCTGGGCATGCTCTCTCCCCTTCACCCAGTGGAAGGGGTTGCAAGGGGCTAGGGCTGGCTTATGCCCTGCTGGCCTCACAGCTACTAGGTGGGGGGTTCTCAGGGGACCCAGCGGCCCTTCCTGGGGCTGAGGAGGCCCCCTGGTTGCCTCGGCGTCTCCTCCCCAGGGAGGAAGCAGCTGGGAAGATCAGGAAGAAGGAGGAGGAAGGGGGATGGATTAACAATCTCTGGGAAAGGACGGCCTCACCCAGGGCTGAGCCTGGCAGCTTAGAGTAATGAGGAGCCCTGACACAGGTCAGAGCCGCCCCTGCCCCCCACCCCCACCCCCGCGGATAAACCACTGCAAAGGTGACCCTCCCCATAACTCAGCCTGGACACCTCCTCCTCCCTTGGGCCTGCCTTGCTGGCTGGGGCAGATGTCGTAGCCAGGTCCCCTGAGACAGCCGATTCCAGCTGCTCTCCTAGGCTCCAGCCCCGGAGGGGTCCTTTAGAGTGGCCTGGCCATTCCTGACCCAGCGTGAGACTCTCAGAAATGCAGGGGAACCACAAGAGGGAAGGGCCTGGGTGCTGTGCCAGCATCATCACCCTATCCTTCCAGGGCTCGCTCTGCCTGGCGGGGGTTGGGGGGTAGATCCCTCTAGCTGCTCCTGGGCTTGGCCACCAGTGGGCCATGAGTCCCGTTGTAAATCCCTTTGGAGAGCATTCATGGCCTCCGTGTGCACCCACAGGAGCTAGCCCCAGCCTTATCACAGCAGTGAGCCCAGTACAACCTGACCTCCCTCCCCCCTCCCGACACATCAGTGCCTCTCTCACAAGTTGCCCTCTGAGTTCCGCTGGGGTGGAGGCACACTTGTGGGGAGAGGGGGAGCGTGCGTGACATTCCTGTCCCCTGGGGTAAGAGGAGGACACTGGACCTCTGAGGGTGTTCCTCCGGCATGTGGCCTCTGCTTGGGGAAAGCCTCCCCTGGCCTCTGCTCAGAGATGGAACAGTCTGTGTTTTCCTAGCAGGGTCCCCGGGGCGTCACTGGGGGAGGCTGGGCATCCCAGGGAGCCCTGGGGCTTGGAGGCCAAGTGTCTCCTGGGCCCAGCTGCCACCACACAGCAAAGAGGTAAACAAACCCAGCCCAAGGTTGGGGCTGGCAGGAACCAGCTCCACAAGACAAGCCCTGTGCCAAGGTAGAGGGCTGAGTCCCTGTCTCATTCTGGGGACCGCGGGAGGACGATGGAGGAGACCGAGGGATGGGGAGTTGATGCTTAGCTCTCTGGCTTTGGGACTTGAACAGTTCTGGCCTCAGTCACGCTGCCCCACCCCCACATGAATCCCCATGCTACCCAGTTTTATCTAATCTGACCCTCCTAGAAATCTGGATCCCAGGGATCTACCCAAGTTTTGCTAGGGGAAATGTTCAAAACTCTTTCTGCCTCCTGGGGACGCCTGCAGGTCTCCTAATCTAGACCATGCCGGTGGTCCTTCTCTCTCCACCACACGACCCTCCTAAATGAAAACCGGACTTTCCTTTCTTTGCAAGGTGTCAGCCTGGGCTTTTCCAGCTGGTGTGTGTGTGTGTGTGTGTGTGTGTGTGTGTGTGTGTGTTGGGGAGGGGGGTCAGGGGTCGGTAGGTATGCCAGGAGAGACCTTTGGGACGGTAGGTTTTACATCTGTAAAGTGGTCACTGTCCGTTATTCGGCACTAGAGTAAATGTCATCATTTATGAAAAATGCCTGGTAAACCGCAGAGGGCTCCAAGGCCAGCCAGAGGTCAGCGAGCGAGTGGCAGGATTGCGAACGCTGTCCACTAGGAATGATAATCGAGGTTGGGGCAAGAGAAGCACCTGAAACTCCTGGGTGTGTGTGTGCGTGGAGGGTGGAGGGCGGGGTGGAACCCCAGGGCTGCGGGTCCTCAGTAGCCTGGAGGAGGGGTGTGTGTGTGTGTGTGTGTGTGTGTGTGTGTGTGTGTGTGTGAGGGGGGTAGTGTTATCCGGGAAAAGGCCAAGCTTAGGTTGGCACTCCCCCTGGCGTGGTTGGGAACAGCTTAGGGGCGCCCGAGGCCGCCTAGGGTGAGCTGCGGGAGGGGGTGGGGTGGGGTGGGCGCGCATCTGGGGGCGGGGCCGGAGCGGCGGAGGGGGCGTGCCCACACTGGCCCCGCCCTACCTGGCCCCGCCCCTCCCGCGCGCACGCGGGTGCGGTGGGTAGCGGGACTCCAGCGTGCGCGGCGGCGGCGGCGGTGGCGGCGGTGCCCCCCGCTCGTCCCGGCTCTTTGTGCGGCGCGCGGGGCGGAGGCGGCGGGGTCCCGGGAGAGGGCGGTGTCCCGGCCCGCCCTCGGCGCCGCAGCCCCCGCCCCCGGCCCGCCCGGCCCCCCGGCGGCGGCGGCGGCGGCGTGGCCGCGGTGCGGCGTCAGCGACAGCGGCGGCGGCGGCGGCGGCGGCGGCGGGGCGGCCCGCGCGGGGGTTTATGTCGGGGCGCCGCGTCTCCCAGCAGCATGGCGGACTACCTGATCAGCGGCGGCACCGGCTACGTGCCCGAGGACGGGCTCACCGCGCAGCAGCTCTTCGCCAACGCCGACGGCCTCACCTACAAGTAAGCGCGGCCGGCGTGGGGGCGGGGGGCAGGGGGGGTGGGGGACCCTCGGCGCAGCTGGCCGCTTGCACCCGCTCCCGCCCGCCCCGCACCCTCCCGGCCCCGCACGTGCGCCGCCTCCCCCCCCCCCCCACACACACCCGCGACCCCCCCTGCGGGGCCTGGCAGCGGCGGCGGCGGCGGCAGCGGCGGCGGCGTGGGGAGGCCGGGGAGGGTGTGGGGCGGGCCCGCGGCCGGATCAGATGGACGTGGCACGGCCACCGCGCGGCCCGCCGCCTGGATGGGATCCGTCCAGCTCCAGCCCCGGCCTGCCCAGCCCTTCTCTCCTGGGCAATCCCCACCCTCCTCCGAGAGGTAGAGGCGTGGGAGTTGGCAGAGCGACTTTGTGGTCCTCTTAACAGCCGGCGCAGGTGACCACGAGGCCGGGGCGGGGTGGCGTCCTGGAGGCCAGCTGGGGCCGCCCGAGGCTTGAGAGGATGAAGCGCAGCTGGAGGCCATTAGGAGGACCCCTTAGTCCCAAGCCTGACCCCTTAGTCCTGACCAAGCCCTCCTTCCACACGTACCCTTCCTTGCTCCCCAGTCCAGCTATAGTGCTCCCCTCCCCCACCCCCTTGAGCTTTCCGACACTGCCACCTCCCAAGCCCACCCCACATGGACTTTGGGAGGAGGTGGCATCTGCAGGGCTATCTCCAGCTCAGTTGGCTTTTCTGCAGGCCCATGGCCAGTTAGTTGTCCTGCCACTGCAGGCCTGGCACGAACCATGCCTTCTGGCTGCAGGACTGTGCCCATGCCAGGGAGGAAGAGCAGCCAGGGATGGGGCAGAGTGGGGATAGGGGCAGACCCGATGCATCCCTGCCCGGTGCCCTGCCCATCCCTGCCCTCACCTGTGAGTGCCCCTAGTCCTGGGTACCAGGTAGCCCTTCCGATTTCCTATCCTTGGACTTGACAGTGGCTGGGGCGAGGGCCAGAGAAGGGGTGTAGGTAATAACCCCAGAAATGCCAAGGGACCCTACAAGCTCCCACATTTCTTCTGTGACCTCCAAATGAGTCACAGGGGCCCTGTCACTGTACAGACGACTGCCAAGGGGCAGTTAAGAGTTTTCTCTGTGTGTGGGGTGGTGGGGGGGTCTCTCTGTGTGAGGGGTGGTGGGGGGTTTCAGCCACACTGGGAATTGCTCAGGTGCTACTTTCAGCCTGGTGCTTGGGGGGAATCACGTGGTGAACCGGGGCCTCTAGCATGCAAAGCACATTCCAGCATGCAAAGCATATGCTTCTGCCTGTTGCAGTCCTTCTTTGGGTCTGGTTTGGTTTGGGGCTGTGGCTCTGTGCTCAGGGGATGCCCCTGGCTATGCTCAGGGCTCCATACTGGTCCAGGGTCCCGTTGTGCCTTCTCGTTGTGCCTCCTCGACCCAGAGCATGTGCTCAGTCCCTTAACTCCCTCCCAGTTTCTGTTAGCTTGGGGGCCACGCCTGATGGTGCTCAGGGCTTACTCCTTACCCTCTGTACTATCTGGACATATTTTAATTGGCCCTCCCCAGCAGAGCCCAGGGGCAGGGCTCACCTGTTTGGTTTTTGTTTGTTTTTTGTTTGTTTATTTTGACCATATTTAGCAATGCTCAGGGGTTGTTCCTGGCTCTGCGCTCAGGAGTCACTCCTGACAGGACTTGAGGTACCATATGGGATGCGAGATTGAACCAGAATTATCATCTAAGATGCAGGGCAAGTGCCCTACCCACTGTACTATCCATCCCTCTGGCGCCTATCTGGAAACTTTTTTTTTTTAAATTGAATCACCATGAGATAGAGCTATATGGCATTTTTAAGTTGGGTCTCCCCAGCAATGCTCAGGGGCAGGGCTGACCATATGGCCCAGTAGTGTGGATCTGATTGTGCATTGCTAAGGCCAGTGACCTGGTGCTCAGTGGTAGGGTTTTGGGGACCAGAAGGGCCGGCCTGGCACACTGGCAGCAGGGTGTGGGGAGCAGACTCAGAGCCTTGCATCATGTGTTGCTCAGTCCTTTGAAGTTCATTTCCTGGCTCTTTTGGGTGGATATAGATACGTGGGTAAAGACTATACTTTGTGTGTTTGTGTGTGTGTGTGTTTGCGTGCTGCCATTAATACCGTTACTGTTATATATTGGGGCCATACCCGGCAGTGCTGAGTGAATGGTGTTTGCGGTGTCTGGGATTGAACTCAGGGCCTGCGTGCTGCATCTTAACTCTGTAATGTACATCTCCTAGGACCCTGCTAAGGGAATAGGGATTTCTGAAGGCTGGGCTGGTTGAAGCAGCACCCCTTCTAACACGCGTGCACGCGCGCGCGCACACACACACTCACACTCATCCATCCATGCAGTCTTTTTTTCCCCTGCACTGTTCCAGGGTGCCTGACATCTAACTCAGCTGGTTGGAACATTCCTAAAGGGTAGAACATGGATCTTTGGGTTTGCCTGCCAACGGCCATAGGGCCTATCTGTGATGCCAGCGTTTTTCAGGGGGGATGGGGAAGCATACAGGGGGTGCGTGTCTGGGTCCTAACTGGGCCCATCCTCCCTCCCTGTGACTGTCTGTGGGCTGCCCCAGTCCAACCCGGCCAGTGTTTTACCGAGGACCTGAGCTGTCAAAACACCTCATGCTCGGCCTCCCGCCCCAGGGTCCCTCCTGCCTCTGCACCCCATGGGACTCAGCAGCTCAGCCCCGTGTGTGCCGACATCCCGGGATGGGAGATGCTCAGGCCAGGCCCGCCTACGCCGCTCAGCTCCTGGGGCCAAACTGTATTCTCAGGTTTATGCTGCCTTGCCTACTGCTCTCACCCAATACGATGGGGCACCCCCAAGAACAGGCTCTGCATCAGCCATGTGGGGGTGATGGGAACTTCAGAACTATTTTGTGGAGAGGGGGCTCTTTTTTGTCACACCCGACAATGCTCAGGACTTACTGCTGGCTCTGCACTCAGGAATTATTCCTAACAGCGCTTGGGGTACCTTATAAGATGCCAGGGATCGAACCCAGGTCTGCTGTGTACAAGCAAACACCATACTTGCTGTACTATCACTCTGGCTCCCTTCTGTGTCTGCTTGAGGAACTCTTAGCCCTGAAGGCTTGGGAGAGAGCCTTGGGGCTGAGTATTCTGCTCTTTCCGGGTTCCCTGGGCTGTCTGCCTCCTTTGGGTTGCCCCTGGGCTGGAGGCCGCGGGATGCTTTAGAGGTGAAGGGGGAAGTCTGCTCGGGTGGTGCTCCCTGGCACTGCCCCTTTTCTGCTCCCTGAGTACCCAGCTCTCACGCCCCTTTTCTTTTCTTTTTGGCCATTGGGGTCACACCTGGCGATGTTCGGGGATTACTGCTGGCTCTGCACTCAGGAATTACTGCTAGTGGTGCTCAGAGGACCATCTGGGACACCAGGGATCGAACCTGGGTCAGCCACATGCAAAGCAAATGCCCACCCCACTGTACGAGCTCTCCAACCCTCACCTCCCTTTTTTTCTCTCCGCAGCGACTTCCTGATTCTCCCAGGCTTCATTGACTTTGTGGCTGACGAGGTGGTGAGTCCCCCTGCCTGGCCCACCGCCCCGCCAGGTGTGTTTGAGGTGGTCGAGGCTGACTCCTGACCCGAGGGCATGTGCAGTAGCGGTGGTCCTGGGAAACGCTGGCCAGGGCAGCCGGCCAGGCCCGTGGGCTTCGAGGGAGCTTTGGGGGGGGGTGGCGCTCAGGGGGCTCCCGAGGGCTGGGTCTGGCCCAGGGCTGTGGGTGAGGGTGTGGCAGCCTCGTGCTCAGACTGCAGGGACCAGAATCCATCCAAAATGCCGAGTGAGGATGTGGCACCGCGGTTGCCCTGCCTCTGGGGGGCTCTGGGTTTGGTCTCTGGCACTGCGAAATGAATAAAATAAATGGCCGCATCAGGAGAGGAGAGACACCAGCAGATTCATGGAGACTTTGTCTGTTTTCTTGGGAGAGAGGGGGTTGTGTGGGGGTCCCTGACAGGGCTCGGGGACTATTCATGGCTGTGTGCTCAGGGGACCATATGCAGTGCCAGGGATTCGAACCCCGGGTTGTAGCCAGCACAGCTGCTTAAAGGCATGTGCCTGACCCGTACTGTCCCTGCAGCCCAGATTCATGGAGGCTCTGAGTGAGGTGGACAGACCTGTTTGGGGACCCACAATGTCCAGAATGTGCCAGTGAACAGCACCTGTTTTACCCAAGGGGCTCGGCCATGCACCAGATGAGTGCACAGTGTCCCTTAGTCCCTACCAGCCTCCCCCTTCCTTTTTTTTTTTTTTTGAACATGGCGGGGGGGTGTTGGTTCATACTTTGTGATATCTGAAGGATCGTGCAGTGCCAGGAATCGAACCTGAACCTCTTGCCATCAAAGCCAGTGCTCCGTCAGCTGCAGCTTCTCCTAGCGTTTAGTTATTATTTTGGATTTTTGACCACTCTTCGGTGGTGCTCAGGGATCACTCCTGGCAGAGCTCAGGAGACCATATGTGGTGCCAGGGATCCAGCCCAGAGCAGCTGCACGCAAGGCAAGCATCCTTCCCGCTCTCTGGTCTCTCTGGCCCCTCCTGGCTTCTTGGATCAACACGTATAAAACCCTCACAATTTTCCAACGGTCAAAAGTCTCTGTATGCCCAACAGCTGAGAGTTAATTCCTCGTCAACCGCATTGGGAATTGGAGGTGTTTCTGGCAACACTGGCCCATGTTGCTATTCTGGGACAAAAACAGGGGGTCCCAGTGGGCAACGAGTCAGAAGCCCCAGGCTGGGCGATTTGCAGAGGACACGCGCTCCGGAATCAGCAAGGAGGGCCAGTGTGTGTGAGTCAGCCCCAGGGAAGGCAGCTCCTCCTGCCATGAGCCCGCACACGGCTGGGACCCAGTTTCTTGCCTGAGCTGTCAGCGCTTGTGAATGGTCCGAGGGCCTGTGCTCAGTGGTGCTGACTGGACAGACCTTTATTTTATTTATTTACTTGCTTTTTGGGTCACACCCAGCGATGCTCAGGAGTTACTCCTGGCTCTGCACTCAGGAATTACTCCTGGTGGTGCTTGGAGGACCATATAGGATGCTGGGAATCAAACCCAGGTCGGTCATGTGCAAGGCAAATGTCCTACCCGCTGTGCTATTGCTCCAGCCCCTGGAGAGATCTTTAGAGGGAAGTTTGGGTTTGTGCTGGAGAGTCCCCCAATGAACTCCAGGAAGTCGCCTGGGTTCAGCGGCTCCGCCCCACCCAGCCTTCCCGGTGCCTGCCTGGCTTTGTGCCAGAGCATCGGGGGCCCCCCCACCCCCTCCTTCAGCTCTCCCTGAAGGCTGTGCTTCTTCCATAGGGAGAGGGCGGGGGAATACGGGGACTTCTCTAGGCGGCAGGAACAGGGCCCTAGACTTTGGGAGGACTTCAGGGCACCCAAGCCTGTGTCTGAGGGTTTTGGGGGGATCTGACTCTCCGTGGGGGCGGCGCTGTGCCTTACCTGCTGTTCACAGTCAGACACCCCCACATGGATAACCGCCCCCTCCCCTGAGCTTGGCAGCCTTTGTCACCTCCTTTCCTGGCTGTCTCCGGGGCTCCTCCCGCACCTTCCCCCACACCCTGCTTCTCTGCCTGGACTTGTCTGCGGCCCCGCAGGGGGGGACACCTTCCTGCCTCAGGGAGCATCCGAGGGACCTCCTTGACGTGGAAAAGGGGATGTGGCAGCGAGGACAAAGGGCTGGAGCCCCGGGTTCAACTCCCCCAACCCTGCAGAGTCCCGGGCACTATCAGGAGTGACCCCTGGCAGCCCAGCTGGGAGTTGCCCCGGAGCACAGCCCGGCGTGGCCTGGCTCAGACCACAGAGCCTCGTGTCTCATCACGGGTCTCTGTGTCCCTCCCTTCTCCTCTCAGAGTCGAATCCAGCCGCTCTCTGGCTTTGAAAGGCCCCCCAGCCCGGCCCCCACTCCACGCCTCAAGCCCCTGCTTTTTCCTCCCTAGTTTCTGTGGCCTGGTCCCACCCCTCCCCTTTCTTTCCCCTTTTGGGGGGGGGGGGTCATGATCATGGCCATGATGATTGTGGATGACACCATCTTGGCCCCTCATCCTCTGAGCCCCTCCTGGTCCCAGCCTTGGTTTTTATCAAATATGAGTTCTTCAGCCTCAGAGAAGGGGAATCCCAGCCCTTCCTCCCCCAAGGGATTTGTCCTTTGGCCTTGACTTGATGCTCCTTCCCCCATTCCCGCCCCCCTTACACACATCTGGGGGCTTTTTGGCCTCCTGGTGGTGCTTTGGGGCTTTTCTTTGGGACGGGGGTGATTCTTGTGTTCCCAGGGGTCGGTGGAGGACTCCAGGCATCTGGGCCTTAGCTTCTGGGCCCATCCTGGCAGGCGGAGGGGTGGCCGCCAGGTCAAGGAGCCAGCTCTTCCCACAGACCCTCCCGTCTCCCTCCCGTAGGATCTGACCTCGGCCCTGACCCGGAAGATCACGCTGAAGACGCCGCTTATCTCCTCCCCCATGGACACTGTGACAGAGGCCGACATGGCCATCGCCATGGCCGTAAGTGGCAGCTGGCCCTGGCGGGGGTGGTGCCGGGAGGTTGCAGACCAGGGCTGGGGCTGCCCAGGGCTTGGGGCCCGTGCTAAGCCTGACGGTGCTTCCCGCCAATCCCAGCTGATGGGCGGCATCGGATTCATCCACCACAACTGCACTCCGGAGTTCCAGGCCAACGAGGTGCGCAAGGTCAAGGTAAGTACTCCAGAAAGAAGCTGCAAGTACCCGGGGTGCTCTGCCCCACCCCCTCGCCCCTCCTCCTAGCAGCCCTTGCCTGTCCTGCAGCAGGGCTGGGACTATGGGCCTGTGTGCCAGGGCCCCCATGGGCTGCTGCCTCCAGCCTTTTCCTCTCCTCCCTACCCCCCATGTGCTGGCAGAAGTTCGAGCAGGGCTTCATCACGGACCCCGTGGTGCTGAGTCCCTCGCACACCGTGGGTGACGTGCTGGAGGCCAAGCTGCGCCACGGTTTCTCGGGCATCCCCGTCACCGAGAGGGGCACCATGGGCAGCAAGCTGGTGGGCATCGTCACCTCCCGGGACATCGACTTCCTGGCTGAAAAGGACCATACCACCCTCCTCAGCGAGGTAGCTGTGGGCTGGTGTGTGTGTGTGTGTGTGTGTGTGTGTGTGTGTGTGTGTGTGTATCGACTTCCTGGCTGAAAAGGACCATACCACCCTCCTCAGCGAGGTAGCTGCGGGCTGGTGTGTATGTGTGTGTGTGTGTGTGTATCGACTTCCTGGCCGAGAAGGACCACACCACCCTCCTCAGCGAGGTAGCCGCAGGCCCGTGTGTGTGTGTGTGTGTGTGTGTGTGTGTGTGTGTGTGCGTGTGTGTATCGATTTCCTGGCCGAGAAGGACCACACCACCCTCCTCAGCGAGGTAGCCGCAGGCCGGTGTGTGTGTGTGTGTGTGTGTGTGTGTGCGCCTGGTACCAGAGGTCGGGGTGAGGGGGTGCAGGTTGGCCCCTTCCCCCACCAGTCCACAGGCTGATGTCCCTGGTTCCGCAGGTGATGACGCTGCGGACTGAGCTGGTGGTGGCCCCGGCAGGTGTGACATTGAAAGAGGCCAATGAGATCCTGCAGCGCAGCAAGAAAGGTACCTACTGGGGAGTTGGGGGCGGGGAGAACATTCTAAGGCCTCCTTCCCATCTGTCCCTGCCCCGGAACCCCCTTTCCCAGCCTCTGGCGGAAGCTGGACCAGGCCTTGGGGGAAGGTTTGACTAAGCCTAGGCTGGAGAGGTTGATTTCCAGGGGTCCTTGTCCAAAGCCAGCTCTCGGCAGACCTAAGCAGTGTTCCCCACACCCCAAAGAACTTCGTGGTCTTAGGAGTCCGAAAAAAACTGCGATTTCCTGATTCCTTCCCTGGCCCGAAGAACTGGACTCAAGTGTGCTAATGACCCTGAGAAGTCCCCTGCGGCTAAATATATCTGACATTGGGGCTGTTGACATGATGTTCGCGAGGCCCCCCTGGGACCCACTGGGAACCACCCAGAAAAGGCTGCTCTTGGGCTGCGGGGCAGGCATCCGGCAGGGCACGTGTCCCATCTGCAGGACGGCCCCGGGTATGCTGTGGCAGGATTTTTCTCCCACTGTGGCCTGTGGCCCAGCAGGTGAAAGGCTGCCAGTGCTCCAGGGCTGCCCACCCCAGTCTGGTGAGGCCGCGGGGCAGGAAGAGCTCCAGGAACGCTCTTGGCCTAGAGGTTTCTTTGCTTCCGCTTCCTTGGGAAGGGGGCCAGGTGCCTGGGTGCTCTTCCCCGGGTGGGTGCTGCCACCTGGTGGCCGGGTCGGGCACTGCAGAGGACTCGGGCTTGGTCCATTTTTCTCCTCCAGCGTCCCTACACCCCACCCCACTCCCCCACCTCTGCCCACCCGCCTGGGGGCCACCCTGTCCCCAGGAGCCTGCTCCTCCTTGTCACCTCTGCATGCCTCATCAGGGAAGCTGCCCATCGTCAATGATCGGGACGAGCTCGTGGCCATCATCGCCCGCACGGATCTCAAGAAGAACCGGGACTACCCACTGGCCTCTAAGGATGCCCACAAGCAGCTGCTGTGCGGGGCGGCCGTGGGCACCCGCGAGGATGACAAGTACCGCCTGGATCTGCTCACCCAGGCTGGTGCTGACGTCATAGTGCTGGTACGGGGCCCTGCGCCAGGGGTGCAGGGTACAGGTCTGGGGTATCTTTGGGTGAAACCCACACAAGAGAGTCCCAACACCCCTCTTGTGAGCAGTTGTAAGTCATGTTCAGTGAGTGCCTCCCTCTGGCCAGCCCCGTACTACAGCGTCACTCCTAGTGCCACCAAGAGTCCCCCACGCCCAGTGTCATGTGATTTCTGGGGGCCCCCTCTCTGAAGCTGGCTCTTGGCAGGCCGGTCCAGGCCACGGAGATGAAATCATATCACATGTCTGGCATGTGGGTGAGGACCAGGCCCAGCTATGGGTACCCGTGGGCTGTGTCTGCGTGGACACTGTGCCCTCCTGATGCTCAGCCCTGTGGGTAAAGCAGCCCCCATGGAGCCAGGAAAGACTCAAAGAATGTTTTCTTGGGGCTGGAGCGATAGCACAGCGGGTAAGGTGTTCGCCTTGCATGAGGCCGATCTGGGTTCAATTCCCCGCATCCCATATGGTCCCCCTGAGCACCGCCAGGAATGATTCCTGAGTGCAGAGCCAGGAGTGACCCCTGAGCATCGCCAGGTGTGACCCAAAAAGCAAAAAAAAAAAAAAAAAAATTTCCTGACACTTTTCTTTGGTGTCCCAGAGTGTGTCTCTTTAAGCATCTTAACCCTTCCCCACACCCCCAGGACTCATCCCAGGGGAACTCCGTGTACCAGATCGCCATGGTGCATTACATTAAGCAGAAGTACCCCCACCTCCAGGTGATTGGGGGGAATGGTGAGTGCGGGGGGAGTCCCTGGCCCCTCCTTGTCTATCCCTTCTCCCTCCTTCACCCTCGGTGGTAGGGGGTGGCACAGCCAGAGGGCTGAAGGGGTGGGCTTTGACCTCTGCAAGGTGGGACGGGCGCCTTGGCTGGGGTTCTGTGAGGCCTAGGGGACGGAGCAGGGGCGTCCCACCTCCTCACCCTCTCCCTGCAGTGGTGACGGCCGCACAGGCCAAGAACCTGATTGACGCGGGTGTGGACGGGCTGCGCGTGGGCATGGGCTGTGGCTCCATCTGCATCACCCAGGAAGGTGAGTGACTGTCCCCGGGGGGCACCCCAGGGCCAGTGCTTGCTCTGCCCGACCCCTTCCCTTCCCCCCTTCCCCCCCCCCCCCCCGTGCAGGTTTGGGGGATCATGGGGCGCATTTCAGACCCCGACTGTCCTGGGGAGGCAGGTGTACTGCCAGGATGAGGATGCTGAGTCTGGTGGGGGAGGGGGAGGCGCTCAGCGGGGAGCCCCGGGTTGGTGCCAGGGGAGTCCCATGAGTTCAAACTGTTTCTGGTTTGAATGAATGAGCTCTGGGATGAGGCAGATGCTTCAGGCACGGGGGATAGTGAGGCCCTGACCGTCAAAGGCTCCAGTCTTGTGTCCCACGAGGCCATGGCTGGGGGAGGGGGGTGCGGGCACCCCCACAGTCACAAAGTGCTCTGAGAGTTGGGGATTGGCCAGACCCTGACACATGCCCCTTCGTGCCCCATGCAGCCGTCTCACTTATGGACACAGGCTTGCCTCAGGAGTGGGGAGGGCTACTCCTCTGGGGAGAGTCATTTTTCCCAGGATACCAGAGGAGTTTTCACCCCTGCCCATGGCTGGCTGCCATGCTGAGATGCAGCAAGAAGCGTGGTCAGAGCATTTGCCTTTTTTACAGGGGCTGCGTCCAGCCAGTGCTGGTAGCAGGGAGGGCCGAGGCCACTCCTGATGATGCTCCCCGTGGTGCCAGGGGTCTATACCTGTTGACCACCTGCACTTTCTCCCCAGCACATGAGTGAGATGTGAGCACTGCTCCGGTCACACAGAACAAATACCAGGTCCTGGGGCTGGAGAGAGAGTACAGAGGGCAGGGCGCTTACTTTATTTTTTGCCCTTTTTTGGGTCATATCCAGTGATGTTCAGGAGTCATTCCTGGCTCTGCACTCGGGAATTACTCCTGGCAGTGCTTGGGGGGGACCGTATGGGATGCTGGGGATCGAACCCAGGTCGGCCGTGTGCACGGCAAATACCCTACCCGCTGTGCTCTCGTTCCAGTCCCAGGGCGCTTACTTTCATGTGACGGTTCCATTTCTGTTCCCAGCTCCTCATTTGGTCTCCTGAACCATGCCAGGAGTGATCCTTGAGTGCCCAGAGCCAGGAGTGAGCCCTGAGCCACAAGAGCCAGGGGTGATCCCTGAGCCACAGAGCCAGGAGTGATCCCTGAGTACAGAGCCAGGAGTGAGCCCTGAGCATCCGAGTGTGCCCCCCCCTCCAAAAAAAAAACCCACAAGGGAGACAGCCCTCCCCTGCTCCATCCGCATTTGGCTCTGTCCCTAAAGGAGCTTGCTGCTTTAGAAGGCCCAGTTAACACTGAACGTTAAGGACCGGGGCCAGTTGAAAAGAAACGCAAGTGCCCAGGAGACAGTCCAGGAGTTGAGGAGCCTGCCTTGCACGCCGCTGACCCTGGTTTGATCATTGCTTCCGGTCTCCTGAGCGCAGTTAGGAGTTAAGGCCTGGGTGTGGCCTCAAGGCAAGCAAAACAGAAAGCAACCCAGGGCTGGTGTGGCTCTCACGGGCAGGGCACGTGCTTCTGTGTTTGAGACGCTGAGCTCAGTTCCTAGCACCACCCCCCCCCCCAAAAAAATAAAGTAGGTACTCACGAAGGTACTAGCCCTAGTGATGGGCCTTGCAGAACGGGGAGCATGGGCCTGAGACTGGGAATGGCGGCCTGGGGTGCTGTGCTCGCAGAACAGCTGCCTGCCGTGCTGCCCTGGGTGGGGTGACCCCGGTGCCATGCTTACTTGGGCCTCGTCAGCCACTGCCTGGCTTGTGGGTCCCGCCCCTGCCTGTCCCCGCCCTCGGTGACTGCTGATGCTTTTGTCTGCCCTCCCCCAGTGATGGCCTGTGGTCGCCCCCAGGGCACCGCCGTGTACAAGGTGGCTGAGTACGCCCGGCGCTTCGGGGTGCCCGTCATCGCTGACGGTGGCATCCAGACGGTGGGACACGTGGTCAAGGCCCTGGCCCTGGGGGCCTCCACAGGTGACGGGGCCTGGGAGGTGGTGGGGGTGTGGGGGAAGGGCAGGCGCTGGGCCAGGTAGTGGGGGAGGGGGTGAAGGAGAGACAGGGGAGGGGCGCATGGGTCCTGACACACGTCCCCGGCCCCCAGTGATGATGGGCTCACTGCTGGCCGCCACCACCGAGGCCCCCGGCGAGTACTTCTTCTCCGATGGGGTCCGGCTCAAGAAGTACCGCGGCATGGGCTCGCTGGACGCCATGGAGAAGAGCAACAGCAGCCAGAAGCGATACTTCAGGTACAGCCTCCCAGCTCCCCACAGGCCCGTCAGGACCTCCCGGGGTGTGTATCCTAGGCCTGGGGCATCTGCATCCCCCCACCCCCTGCCCTGAGACTCAGAGGCCTGCTTTGATAGGCTATGTCCCGGGTTGGGGTGGGGTGGGGTCCCCAACATCCGCTGGACTCAGCGCCCCCCACCCCCGGCCCCCCACGCAGCGAGGGGGACAAGGTGAAGATCGCCCAGGGCGTGTCGGGCTCCATCCAGGACAAAGGCTCCATTCAGAAGTTCGTGCCCTACCTCATCGCGGGCATCCAGCACGGCTGCCAGGACATCGGTGCCCGGAGCCTGTCGGTCCTGCGGTGAGTGGGAGATGCCTGGGGCCCCCAGGCCCCCCCCCCGCCCTCTCCCTCCCCCCTGCTCCTGAGCTGGCCCCCTCCCCACCGCAGGTCCATGATGTACTCAGGGGAGCTCAAGTTCGAGAAGCGGACCATGTCAGCGCAGATCGAGGGCGGCGTGCACGGGCTGCACTCGTAAGTGGGTGCTTCGTTGCCGAGGTCTCAGTGACCCTCCCACCATCTGACCCAGCCCCTCCCCAGGGCCCTGTGGTCACTTAGCCCCGCCCCCCCCACATCCCTCGGGCATGGCCTTGAATGGGGCACCAGCCTGTCCCCGCCAGCCTTTCCTCACTCAGAAGCTTGGTGGCCGGTGTTTGGGGCTGGCAGTGCTGGGCTCTGGTGCTGGGGGTGGCCAGCCCGCAGATGGAGGCGGGGGACCCGGCCCTCTGCTGAGAGAGACACATGTGGGGACCGGTGTGGGGCCTGAGGGCGGGGGCAGGGCTAGCTGGCAGCATAATGGAGACACACACACACACACACACACACACACACACACACACATACACATATCCATGCATACACACACGTCTATGCACACACAGACACACACACAGATGCACGCAGCCCCGCCCCATCCCGCGGGTGTCTAATCTGTGTCTCTTTCTGCCCCGTCTCCCATAGCTATACCTTTGTGCCGTGTAAGTAACCGCGCTGCCCGGGGCCAAGCGTAGACTAGAGCAGGGGCAGCCTGGGGGGGGCGGCCTGGGCCCAGGGGGCGAGAGGGGGCGGGCACGGGTGGGGCCCGACCCTGGTCAGCACATGCCGGGAGTGGCCTTCACTGGAGGAAACACTCGTCCTCTCTTAATGGGGTGCAGAGCTGGGCCCAGCCCCCGCCCTGAGTCTGTCCCGAACGGGACCCCGTGGCCACAAGGGGGCCGGGCTGCCCTGCTGCGCCTGGGTGGCCGGGCTCGTGCTGAGCTCCCTGGGCCCGCCTGAGGCCTCCGGGGACCCTGCCTGGGCCTGAGGCGCCTCCTCTGCCCCCACACCCGGGGATCTGGGCAGGGCAGGGTGGGAGGCCACCCACCCAGCCCGGATCCCCTCTCCCCTTGCCCCCACAGTTACGAGAAGCGGCTGTACTGAGGACGCTGGCGGAGGCCGAGGCGGGGGCGCGGGCGCACCCCAGGGGCCCTCCCCGGGCACCGCCTCCCTCCGGAACTGAGCTGAGCAGTGGCCGGTCTGCGGATTTGCACTAAGGGATTCCCCAGCTCCTCCCTCAGAGGTGGGAGGGAGAGGAAAGGAGGTCCGAGGGGTCTGTGGCCTCTCCGCGGGCACCCCCACCGCCCCATCACTCACACACAGTCCAAATGGTTCCCCGGGCCTGCTCGCCGCTCCCCGGGGGACCCCCGGAGCGCCCCCACGGGGAGCCAGCCCAGCCCGCCTGGGCTCTCAGGCCCCCCGTGCCCGTCTCAGGTTTCTCTCGCTGCAGCCTGCTCAGCCGGCTCCCACCTCCGGGCCAGGCGGGCCCTCCTGGCTTCTGCAGGGGGGGCCCCCCTCCTCACCCCGGAAATGGTGCTCTCCCGGCCCGGCCTGGCCTCTGCCCCTCCAGCCATGTGGCACGTCTGGGCTGCTGACCTAGGTCACAGGGAGGTCTCTGCCCCCTTCCCCAGCCCTAGGGAGCTGCTCCTTGGGCCCCGGCCCCGGGAAGAAGGCTGCCCACTGCCCTCCCCCGGGTGTCCCCAGGTGTCCTGGTCCTGCCCTGCCCCCACCCCCCACCCAGCTGCAGTCGAAGGCTTTAACTTTGCACACTTGGGAGTCACAGTTGCATCATTGTATATTAAATAAGAGAATAAACCCGAGGTCTCCAGGCCTCCACCCCTTGTCTCTGGTCCTTCCCCCAGCCCTGCCCCCACTCCCCGGCACCTTCCGGCCGCTGGCCAGGAGTTTGCGTCCCTCAGAGCCGGGCGGGCGGCATCACCAAGCCCAGCCTGGCCAGGAAGGTGGCCAGGGCGTTGCGGTACTCCAGGGGGTGCTGGCGCAGGTGGGCCGCATGGCGGGACGTCTCCCAGGCCTGCGTCCACACAGCCATGCCCTCCTGCCGCCAGCCAGCCAGCAGCTGCCCCAAGCGCTCCACGTCACAGAGTGGGTCGTCGTGGCTGTAGAAGACGAGCGTCGGGGGCCGCACTGGGGGCTGCTGGAAGGCGCCCACTGCCGCCTCGTAGTGCCGCACGGTGCAGCCCGGGCACAGGTGGAAGTAGAACGTGGCTGTGGCCTTGATGACCGGGCCCAGCGCCTGTGGCCGAATCAGCTGAGAAACGCCTGTGTGTGCCAGGCAGGAGAGTTAGCGCGGGGCCGGCCTGCCACCTCAACCCCGCAGGCACGGGGGGCAACACAGCCCAGAGTTGGGGGCTCTTCAGACATCTGCAGTGACTCCTGTTCCGGGTTGGGCTGAGGGCCCCCTGCTGTCCCTCTTGGGGCACAGGCGCCACTGTAGGGAGGGCCGGATAAAGGAAGATGGGCCAGGAGAGCTCTGCTGGCAGGAAGGAGGGGTGCTGAGCCTTGGTTTATGGGTAGTGAAGAGCTAGAAGCATCCTGTGACTCTGGGCTCCAGTGATGCTGACACGGAGCCCCTCAGCTCCATCTCTCCCAGGGGGTGTGTAGTGCCGGGGACTTGTGAGGGACCCACAAACACTCCTGTCTGTGAGCGGCCTCCCGAGAATGACTTTGAAGGCTGGCAAGGGGGCCTGGTTCCATTCCTGGCACCACTATGGAGATCCCCCAGCCCCCCTTCACACACCCCAACATGGAGATGGGAATAGCCCCTGATGGAGCACAGCCAGTTGTGGCCCCCGAACGAAAGCGGCAGGGTCACTTTTTAATTTCACTTTCAGGGATCATGTTTGGTGGGGTTTAGGGGGCCATGTCAGGTGCCAGGGATTGAACTTGGGTCAGCTACATACCCCCTTATTACTTTTTAGGGGCCCTCCCAGGCACTATCCATGGGCCCCGGAACCATTCCTAAAGGTAGTCGAGCTATGCAGGACAGAGGGCTTTTGGGATCTTGTGTGTGTGTGTGTGTGTGTGTGTGTGTGTAGGACGGCTTTTGGGATCCAGGGGGTGTGTGTGTGTGTGTCTATGTGTCTGTGTGTGTGTAGGGATGGTGACGGGGATGCCCAGACAGTCATACCTGGGATGTGTGGTGTGTGTGTGTGTGTGTGTGTGTGTGTGTAGGGTTGGTGGCGGGGACATTCAGACACAGTCATACCTGGTGCTTGGGGCCTGTGGTGCCAGGGGACTGAACTTGAAGCCCCCCACTCTGTCCCTGTGAGTCCTGCTCCCCTAAGAGTCATTGTAGAGAAGACCCAACAGTGCTACCACATGATCAACTGATTTCTGAGGCTTTTCTGAAGGCTGGGCCCTGGTACTCGAGTCTGATCTCCAGGGGGATGAAGCAGCAGGTGAGCTTGTGTGGGGCCGGCCTGCCATGGCTCATTCGCATGGGGTCAGCGGGAAGTTGCGGGTAGGACAAGGGGCAGATGAGTGCTCCTCGTGGTACCGCGGGGGACAGGGGGCTGAGCAGTCACACGTGGACACAGGTGCATCACAGAGCCCTGCCTGGCTGGGGTCCAGCCACAGCCCCATCCCCCCGCACCCCCCCCCCCCCCCGCCTGCCCACGCCCCCCGGCACTCACCCAGCGCCATCCGGTCCAGGCTGCCTACCACCAGGCTGTCGAAGACATGTCCCCAGAGGCGCTCGGCCACAGCGCTGTAGCGCTCGGGCTGGCGGTGGATGAGCAGCAGCATCTGAGCGAAGGTGTAGCCCCCCAGGGAGAGGGCGTGCACGACCAGGGGGCGACCGGCCAGCACCCCGGGCCCCTGCAACAGCTCCAACACGCGCGCCGCGCGGCCCAGGCCCAGGCGCGGGCACAGGAAGTGCCGCAGTGCGCTCTCCACGGTCAGCACGTCGAAGCCGCTGGCCAGGTAGAGCTGCAGGTATTTGGCCTGGGCGCCCTGCGGCGCCCCCAGCCAGGGCAGCAGCAGAAGCAGCGGGCGGGGCGGCCCCGGGGCCCCTGGGGGCCCCGGCTGCTTGCAGTAGAGGTGGATGGAGCGCGACAGCCGCGTCACCGTCACGTCGTCGTCGTCGTCGTGGGCAGCGGGCAGCAGCGGGACCATGGCTGGTGCTCCCTCGGGGAGAGACGGGGCAGGAGTGCTGGGAGGCGCCCCCTCGCCTTCCGCACCCGCGGGCTGAGAACGGGACCGCTCAGAAGGCATGATGGGGGCAGTGTCCCAGCCCTCTGAGGGCCCTTTTAGCTCCTGCGGTCCCGGTGCCAATCGGGAAGTGGGCAGCCAGCCCGGAAGGGCGGGGGGTCAGCGACCCGGCGGCTGTGTCCTCCAGCCAGCGGGCCCCGCCTTCCACCCCTTACACCGGGCCTTTTGTTCCTGCTCCTGCCCCGGTTGGGAAGCACTGGACCCCAATCCCAGCCTCGCTGGGCCCCGCCTACTGGACACGCCCCCTACTCCCCCTTAGGGGCCTGGGGAGCTGCCCCTAATCCCTACCCACGCACACACGTACACGCGCGCACGGACGCGCGCGCGCACTTAGCCCGTTCTGCCTGCGGCGTAGCAGAATTTGGACTGGAAGTCCCGGCAGACGGTGACTGGGGGTCAAAGCGCCCAGCACCCCACACCCCCACACCCCCTACCCCCAATTCTCCGGCTTCACGCAGACCTCAGGACGGGGGCCCTCACCTGCAGGGCACCAGAGCCAGCCTGCCAGCCCAGCCGCCAGCCTCCTTTATCTCTTAGCGGGCTCAGGAGGGCCGGTGGGCGGGGTTCGGGGCCCCGGGAGACCAAGGTCCCCAGCCTGCCCCGCCCCCTTGTAAGCTCCTAGCTCTGGGCGGCCAGCCCGGGCGGGGAGCCAGGGCCAGAGCAGACCCGCGGGGAGGGGTGGGAGGGGGGGCTAAACAGGTAGGGACCTTCTCTCCGCCCCACACCCCCGTGCCTCAGTTTCTCTGCCTGTGATCCCAATGGAGAAAGAACTCCCACCCCACCCCACACGCACGAGAGGCTCCACTTCACCTTGGGGGTCAGACTGGGGTCAGGGAGGCCCAGCTGGGGATGGAAGCGGGTGTTTGCGGGGGGGGGGTGCTGGGGGGATGCTACCCTAGGCGTCCTGCGCTCAGCCTCGCCCTCTCCTGGGACCCCTTCCCTGGGCTTTTCCTTGGAGGCAGGACAGTCGGCGGCTCCATGAGGCGAAGTTTTCCAGGTGGGTGGGGAGGAAAGGGAAGTCGGGGCGCCGGGGGCTGGGGAAGAGGAGGGATCCAGAAGGGATGTGGCGTAAGGCCCTTCCTGTGACCCCACAACGTCACTCTCCCACCCACCCCAACTTTAACATCTTCCTCCCCGGGCTTTCCTCCTGCAGAACCCCCAGGCCGGTGGGAAGCCAGATGGGTGCCCCACACTTTAGACTCGGGGCCGCAGGAAATTAAGGGTTTGTTTTCTCTGCGACTCCCAAGCGAGGAGTGGGGGGCGGGTTCTCCTTGTGTCCCCCCTCTCCCTCCCGTTGCCACACTCCTCCGTGCTAGCTAATGCTCTATAGGGATCCAGGGGCGAGGAGGAGGGAGGATGCTTAAGGGTGGCAAGGCAGAGCCAGACTGGGGACTGATGGGGGCATCGCCCCCACCCCCAAGCTGTTGTCGCTATGTCCAGCAGGTGGCGCCGGGGCTCCTCGGCCCGCGGGACCCCGGGGAACGCGAGTGGGGCTGTTTCCTAGGCAACAGGCCTGCTTCCAGGTCTTCCTCAGGTTCAGGGCAGGGAAAAGGATCTGAGAAAGGAATGCGGAGAAGAGAGGAGTCAGAAGAACGGCTGCCCTCTGCTGCCTTTCTTACTCAAGCCCCCGTCACTGTTGGGGTGCGTCTGATCCTCAGCCCCCCTCTCTAGCAGCACAGGGATGAGAGGGTGAGGATAGGTGGGGCACAGTTGAGGGGGCACTGTGGGGGCACCCTTTCTAGCACAGATCTCTAGGTGTGGGTCATGGTAGGGGCGGAAAACTCCCACTTGGCTTTCTTCTTCTTTTTTTTTTTTTTTTCAGCTCAGAACTTACTCCTGGCTCTGTGCTCAGGGATCACTCCTGGCTGTCTGGGGGCAGGGGGGATGAGACTCAGGTGGGCCACGTGCAAGGCTATCCCCTCTTTCCAAACACAGGATTGCAGGGGGCCTGGGGGCTCTGGAGGGGAGAGGAAGCTTCCAGCACAGCTGAGGGCAGGAGGGCTGACCCAGGAGAACCCTCCCATGGAGCCCAGGATCGTTGTGGGGAAAAGGGGGTAAGATTTGCGTGTCAGGGGCTGGAGCTATAGTACAGCGGGTACGGCGTTTGCCTTGCACACGGCTGACCTGGGTTCAATCCCCAGCATCCCATATAGCCCCCCGAGCACCACCAGGAGTAATTCCTGAGTGCAGATCCAGGAGTAACCCTGAGCATTGCTGGGTGTGACCCAAAATGGAAAAAAAATTGTATGTCAGCCCCAGTGGGCATGGAGAAATCTCAGCACTTGGGGTTTTCCAGGGCATGGCCAGGAACACCCCCGTGCCCTGAGCAGGAGCAGCCCTGAGCGTGGCCCCCAAACCAAGCCAGCCTAGCCCAGGCACAGGGACTGGGTGGGTTGTGCTTGATCCGACCGCGCTCAGCCTTTCCACTCCCTGTTCCTCGCTGGTACCAGACTGGACACAGAGACCATCCACGGGCGCTTCTGATTCCCCTGAGCCCAGCTCCTCCAGGAAAATAACTGATAAAATGATTTCAAATATCTTGGCCCTTTTAATTTCTTTTTTAAAAAAATCCTATCTTAGGTTGTTACAAAAGTGTTAAAGTTTATGGTTTCTGTCTGTAAGATTATGATCCCCACCACTTTCGGGGTGCCCCTATCCCTACAGCCATATCCCTCCGCTCTCCCCCTCAGCCCCTCCTCCACCCACTGCTTGTTAATCAGTTTCATAATTCAAGAATCCAAGGCCAAGCACTTGTCATTACCTGATACTGCCGGTTCCCCTGTTTTGTCTTTGTACTACAGATGAGTGGGTTCATCTGGTATTTCTCCTCCCCCTGGTTTCTGTCACTTAACACAATGCTCTCCACTTCCAACCACTTTAGAGGAAACCAAACAATTCCATATTTTCTTACACCTACGTAGTGTTTCATTGTTGTTGGACATTTGGGTTGTTTCCATATTCTGGCTATTGTACTATATTTATAATATTGAAAAAACATCATGGACCATGTATGTATAGAATGTATGTAATTAGGGACTGGAGAAATAGGATAGCAGGTAGACGCTAGTTTACACAGGGTTTGATATCCTGACACCTCATAAGGTCCTCTGAGCACTGCCAGGAGAGATTCCTGAGTGCAGAGCCAGGGGTAAGCCCTGAGCACCGCTGGGTATGGCCACCCAAAACTAAAAACCAGAAGAACATATGTAAATTTCTGCCTATGATATTTATACTTGGGAATCAGGGAATATATCTCATTTCATTTCAAAAGCAAGAGGCTTGTGTTCCTAGTGGGGGAGAGGCAGTGAGGGACAGCTCTTGGCCCACAGCCATTATTGCTGGGGGCCCAGGGACCATCCTGCTATGTGGATCACCAAACCCAGAGCCTCACATACACAAAGTCTGTCGCAGACCTCCAGCCACATCCCAGCCCCTGCTGGGCCCTTTTGTTCATTCAGGCCTTCCACAAACTGAGTGAGATCCAACGGCATTGGGGAGCGCCATCTGCTCACCCACCAAAGGCTCATCCCATTCAGAAACACCCATTACAGTGCTGGACCAAATATCTAGCATCTTGGTCCTGCCAGGTAGGCATGAAATGGGCTCTCATGCTCCCCTCCAGTCAGACCAAGTCTACCCCTTCTTAAATCTACCTTTTCTTGAGCCTGGAGAGAGAGTGCAGGGGTAAAGCACTTGCCTTGTATGTGGCCACCCCTAATTTGATCCCTCGCACTGCATATAGTCCTTTAAGCACACCATGGGCCATTCTTGAGCCTCTGAGCACCACCCAAACCCAAACCCAACCAACCCAGTGTCAGACGCCTGGGAGATACCTCAAGGGGCTAGTTCGCATGTTCTGTGTGAGAGTTCAAGCCCCAACATTACTCGGGTTTCCCAGGATACTGCCAGAAGCATCCACATTCCCTGAGTGGAACAGCCTCTGAGTGTAGCCCCAAACCAAACCAATGTCATTCCTGAATACTTGGCGAATGACGGGATTCACGGGACACTCAATGGGGCCAGAGAGATAGTACAGTGGGTAGGGTGCTTACCTTGCATCCAGCCAATCCAAGTTCAAAACCCAGTGCCCCTGACGCTCTCCTGAGCACTGCCAGGAGTGAGCCCTGAGTGCAGAGCCAGGAGTAAAGTCCTGAGCACTGCTGGGTGTGGCCCCCAAACCCAGGAGAAAGATAAAAGAAGACTCACTTGTCACTGAGGACACACCTGTGTGAGAACAGACACCTGTAGGAATTCTGTGTTTGTGAGGGGATACACCCAGTTCCCCACCCTCTCCTCCCATCCCTTGGAGCATGGGGGTGGAGGCAGGGTGGAGACAAGTGTGGGGGGGGAGGAGAATGAGGGCTGGACTGGCAGGGCATCCCACATCCACACACTGATGTGGCCTCAGGGCTGATTGCCCGGGCACCAGCCTCCTTTGCCACACCCACCTCGCCTGGTGTGGCAGCCCAGGGATCCTTTCTGGCCAGTGATGTATACCATCGCAGTTGATAGATGTGAATGCCAGCACTTGCCCCACCCCGCTGCTCCCCCTCTCACAGCCTCACTCTTTATCCAGCCGCCCCAGAAGCAGAAACCCCGCTGAGCAGTCCACTGAGCAGCCCATTGCGATCCCTGCAGCCTTGGCCTCGTCTGGCCAGTCCTGGTACCTCTGTTTCCCCCGACGGCTATAACAAATCTCCCCACACTGAGTGGCATTTTGAATTTGTTTATTTCTTTGTTTTGGGGCCATGCCCAGTGATGCTCAGGACTTACTCCTGGCTCTGCACTCAGGGCACTGTATGGGATATCCCAGTTCGAATCAGGGTTGGCCACATGTAAGGCAAATGTCCTACCTGCTGTACTATCACTCCAGTCCCTAACTTTTCTTTTCTTTTTTGCATTTTTGGGCTGCATCTAGCAGTACACAGGCCTTCCTCCCAGCTCTGCACTCAGTGCTTACTCTTGGTGGGTCTGGGGGCACCCTAGGCAGTGCTGGGACTCTAACCTGGGTCAGCTGCGTGCTAGGCAAGCACCTTAGCCCCAGCACTGTCTCTCCAGCCCGTTTTGATTTTTCTTTCTTCAGTAGTGCTGCAGGTAGGGCCTCACACATGTGAGATGCGTGCCTTATGACTGATCGCATCGTTAGTGCCAAACCCAACCACGTAAAGCCCCTCACGTCTCTCATCCTAAGGAGTAAGTAAAGGAGGTCAGACATTTATAAGAGCACCCCCCTCATCTGTTTTGGGGGAGTGGTCACACCCAGTGATGCACAGGGGTTACTCCTGGCTCTGGACTCAGGAATTATCCCTGGCGCTGCTCAGGGGACCATATGGGATGCTGGGAATCGAACCTGGGCCGGCCGCGTGCAAGGTACCTGCTGTGCTATTGCTCCAAGCACCGCCCCCCGCCCCCCATCATCTTTATTCTTTCTGGAGGCTCTTAGGAGAACCTGTTCCTTTCCTTTTCCCCACTGCTAGAGGCTGCCTGGCTTCCTTGGCTCATGGCTGCTTTCTCCATCCCCAGCGCC